TCCCAAGGTCATTCCCACATACCATTACCCTTAATGAATAAAGAATCCAAGAAACACATCATGGAAAAATATGATGTATAAACTCCATCTTGTTAGTGAATTACAAGAACCAATAAGGATTACCCACGTCCACTTGGATAACCTCCAAGAGGGAGAGATGAACCAAGAAAAGGTTTTGATCCCAAATGGAATACCATAGTGAAAGACTGAGAGAACTATAAGTATTTGTTGAAGTTGTTGCTTCAAACATCAGTGGTATCCAGATGAATATGACAATAAAGTGAAAACAAAGTAGTGTTGAATTTCGTGGGTGGCTCTTCATTTTGGAACTGACCTGGAAAGTAAAGCTGGCTGCAAAAAGAGATACAGGGAGTCCTCGCTTAACAACCACAATGGGGACCTGAAAATTGGTTGTTAAGCAAATCAGACCTGATTTTACAACCTTTTTTCCAGCGGTCATTAAGCAAATTACCGTGGTTGTTAAGGGAATCACACGATCGTTAAGTGAATTATGCAGTTCCCCATTGACTTTGCTTGCCAGAAGCTGGCTGGGAAGTTTGCAAATGGCAATCAGGTGACCCCAGGATGCTGCAACCATCGTAGGTGCGAGCTGGTTGCTAAGTGCCCAAATTTTGATCACGTGACCACAGGGACACTTTGACAGTCATAAGTGCGAGGACTGATCGTAAGTCACTTTTAGTATTGTAACTTCGAACAGTCACTAAATGAATGGATGTTAAGTGAGGACTACCTGTAGGGAGAAATTCAGTTAGGAACATAAAGGTAGCTTATAAAGAGTTATGGAGAAGAAGGTTCAGGCGTGGGTTCAACAGCTCTTGAGGTTGTCATCCATTGTTAATAGATCAGAGTTTTTCCTGAATCAAGATGAAGTTAAGCTAAGCTGTGCAGAAGGAACAAAATAGCAATACTGATGTTTGTCTTTTCGTTTGTGCTGTCTCCAGCTCATCCTTGGACTAGCCAGTTAACTGAAATTACAGGATTTTCCCTCGAAGAGCTGGTGCCCTGTGTGCTGAGTCTCCACAAAAAGTGGTAAACCTTTGGGCAGGGAGGGGCTTCAACAAACTCGAGCTTCAGTGACTGACCAGTAGTGGATGGGTTTCTCCATCCATTGGGAAATAACCAGGGGTGTTCTCTAAATTAGGCAAGAGCTGATACTGATGTTCATCATGTCGGTAGAATCATGAAGGGACTGTGTTAGGCAGAAATGATGGCCAGGCTAGCTGGGGACAGAGAGGGCTGTAATCAAACTTATTTGAAGGTCTCAGGCCTGGGAAAACTAAGGGATTCTTACAAACATGGTTGTTGCAGAGGTTCATGGAGATGGTTCCTGAAGTTGCAATAAATGCATTTTGGGGGCAGACCTCTCAGAGGAACCCACAAACACTTCCTGATGTCTTCTTCCATCCAAGGCCAAGTGTTGGCCTTGCCCTGCCAGAGGCTCCCTGCTGTGCCTTGCCTTGCCTAAGGCTCTAGCTACAGGCCCTCTGGCCATAACACCCAAGCATTTGTGCAGAAGGTACACTGGAGCTCACATGCAGCTGCCCTGGAGCAAGGTTATTGTCCCTGTTGCTCTATGACTGCTTGGTGGCCTCCCACAAACTGCTTTTCCTCAGTTGGCCAACAGGGGGAAGTCCTTCCGTTGCACCCGCTGCTGATCGATGCTGGCCCAATTCCCTCTAAGCTCACTGCTGAGACTGCAGTGATGGAGGCAGGCCTGGCATTTTTGTGGGCTTCTTTGTTCCAGCCAGAGAGACGCTGGGGAGTTGCCTTTACTGCAGGCGTTTGCCCCATAGCTTCCTTCTCTCAGACCACAAAGATGAGTATAATGGTATACAAGAAAGACCTTGGGAGACTGGGCCAAGAGACGCTGCCAAGGGAATGGTCAGATAAGAGATGGCATAGCCCAAAGCTGGATAATAGGTGAGGCAAGAGCTCAGAAGGGACCCTCCTTAGTTTCTCGGGCTGTAAAGGAGCTGGCAGGAGAATTGTACTTTCAGACTTGCAAGATCCTGCCGATGTAGCTTTACAATAAAGTAAAGGGTAAACCAGATAGGAATCACAACCGGATGAGCTAATTCTACTTTAGTGTATCTCCTTATTACATGCTCTTAACAGTCTCTTGGTATCTCTTCTGCCAAGATCCTCAAGGATCCAGTAACAATTTAATTTTTTTTCAGATGAAGTTAATCCAGTAGAGTTCAGATGGAGTAGAGTTCATTTCTCCTCCCAGTCATTTGAAAAGCTATTATTTTGGGGGATTTTTAGGAAGGGCATCCAACAGGGCCAGTGAAGATTTGGGGGGAGATGGAGTGTCCTGTTTTATTAGAAAGAAGGAAGGGTTCCTCTTCCTTGCTTCTGGCCACTGTAGTAAGAATGGGGAATAAGTCCGTGAAATGTAAAACCAGAATTGGATTCCGGATTTTTCTCTTCCCAGCTTCCATGAAGATGTTCCCAAAGATTATAGGCAGGTGTCCCTTACTGCTGTGAAGCAACGATTTGAGGATAAGCGCTATGAAGAAATTGGAAAGGAAGAGGTAGGTTAAATGCCTTTGTCCGTAGGGCGAAAGTGGAGCATCATTTTTGGCGGGCGGGGGGGAGAAATGAAATTGGCTGCCAGTTGACTCAGAGATAATGCTAATTGACAGTGCTGGTGCATGGTAAACCCTGTTTTGTTTTCACAACGGTTGAGCTGGATTTATACAACAGGCTAAGCCCCAGTAAGCAAGCCGCATTATAGATTAGTAAGAAGAATGAAGTCATCCTGTCTCTTAGATATGAAAAGGAAAATGAAGAACAATGTAATAAAAAGCAATCCTGGCGGGGAAGACTGTTCTTTTAGTTATTTGTATTTCTTTCAGGATATAATTGCTTCCATGGTATAGAGCAGTGTTTCTCGACCTCAGCAACATGAAGATATCTGGACTTCTACTCCCAGCATGTTGGCTGGGGGAATACTGGGAGATGAAGTCCGCACATCTTAAAGTTCCCAAGGTTGAGAAACACTGCTATGGAGCAATGTTTCTCAACCTCAGCAACATGAAGATATCTGGACTTCTACTCCCAGCATGTTGGCTGGGGGAATACTGGGAGATGAAGTCCGCACATCTTAAAGTTCCCAAGGGTGAGAAACACTGCTATGGAGCAATGTTTCTCAACCTCAGCAACATGAAGATATCTGGACTTCTACTCCCAGCATGTTGGCTGGGGGAATACTGGGAGATGAAGTCCGCACATCTTAAAGTTCCCAAGGGTGAGAAACACTGCTATGGAGCAATGTTTCTCAACCTCAGCAACATGAAGATAT